TCCAATCGTAAGCAGTCGTACGTGTGTGAACTAACCCTAATACGTTAGTCAAAAAGTTTGTTTTTGTTACAGGAAAGCAAAACCGACTTCCAATAACGAGCTATTATGCATAACGGGGCGATAATTAAACTGTCCGCGGGTGTACAAAAGTATTTATTGAAAGTAGAACAGCTGGAACACGCGAAAGCCTCGCAGGGACCACAACCGACAACAACAGCCGCAATACGCCAGCTACTAAGGTTCCTGTCATACAGCAGTCAAGTTGTACGACAACATTGACAACAACAAAATGGGTTTTAATTTAATGAAAAAACACATTCAAAAGCGACTTTGTGAACACACTTTTTTTGTTTCCGGCCATTGTAAGGTAAAATATATTAGTTATAGCTTCACTTTTTAATAATACTCGGATAGAGAATGACCGAAGTGATCCATGGGTCTCTTGTTTATGTACTAATAGTATAATTATGAAGGCGATAATGTTCATTCGTGTAGACAATGTTATTATGAAGAAGTGAAATAGTTATTTTTAGAATTGGTTTCTGTTTTAGTGTTTTCTGTAAAATAATAGATGGTGGCATACATTACTTAATTTGAAAATGTATTTTAATTGAAACAATTCTTTCTAAACTACCGTACACTTCATTCTCATACGAAGCATGAGATATAAAATAACCACGATCTTAATTTTAGTATTAGAGGAAATAATAGGAAACCCGTGGCCCTCTTTGCACGTTATTTAGTATCTTAAATAATTTGCTAAGGACCGCATTAGCTTGCCCTAGAATCCTCGGGTAACGAGAGAATACGTTAGTAAAGTCACTTTCAAGTATGCGCCATTAAATGTATAATAATTAATCAAATAATAATGTTCTAGCCAATGAAGGCGACCGCCGCGGGGCCGGAGCACTGTGCAGTTCATATCTTACTTTGCAGCATCTAGCAACATGGGAAGTGAGATGGACATATCCGAGCAACGCGCACGAAGCAACAAAAATAGGCGTTCTGAATGAGCACATAATAGTTTGCGGGCTTAGCACAACACGGAAAGCTTACCTCTGAATAATTTTTTTTAATTGATGTATCGCAAGAATAAATTAAAACACCACTGCGTGGACATCAAATGTTGATAGTTTTCTACGCTACGCACTTTTCCTGCGTGCTTGGAAAGGCGCAACGGAAGGGGTCTTGAATTCGACACTTCTCTGGCGTCGAATTCAATAACGTAAGTGGTGCTTGAAGAAAAAAAAATGTCGCGACGGTCACATGACGTGATGCGTTCAGACAACGACATCTGTGCTGCTTATGCGATGGTAGGACGTTGGCGAACGATTGGCATTGCGCCTACCGTGCGTCATACGGTGATCTGAATATTGAAATCACGTTGCGTTGATTTAGCGTCGATCCACGTTTTCGATCAATAAATGATTTCAAAGTCGTGACGTGTTTTCTCGCCAAATTTGTCGGGGAAACTGAATTGTTGCATGCGTCACGTGACGTCAATATTTCCACTTAAGTTAGCGGGGAAACTGAATTGGTGCATAGCTCAGGTCACTTAAATGATTCCGCTAAATTTAGCGAAGACTTGAATTTGTCTGTAGGTCCCGTGACATTAATCTTTTCCCGTCAAATTTAGCGGGGAACTTGATTTGCTGCATAGGTCACGTGACGTCTGTTTTTCCGCTAAATAAGTGGAGAAACTGAATTGGTTCATAGGTTACGGGATGTCAATTTCTTTCCGCTAAGTTTAGCGGGGGAACCCGAATTTGTCTCTAGGTCCCGTGACAATTTTCTCGCCAAATTTAGCGAGGGAACTTTTCTTTTACGAACACGCCGTCGCGAAACCGGGGAACGGTCCACTTGAGCTGCCGCTATAAAACCCTAGAAATGCTCGAAATTAAAGAACACTTTGTAATTTTTAGAAAACCAGGCAACTTGTCGTTTCTTCCTAAATGCTGACCTTCAAGCGAAGATGAGATTGCAGAGAATGAGATGAGAACCTTAAAGACCAGTTCAAATTAAAAAAAAAAAAAAAAATAGAGCCCTTTATTGTTAACAGGCTGATTGGAACTTATCGCTCATATCAAAGTTCCTACAAAAAAAAAGTAATTGGTACTTTTTTTCACGGGTAGAAATGATCACCGAGACTTTTGATCCTTGTTTTAATGGCAATAATTAAATTTCGTACCTGGTGCATAAACTATTTTCCACGTAAAATACTTCTTGGGCTCCCCCACTATGTATTTCCAGCTAAACGCGAACACCTATTGACAAGACCTGCGGACACCACCGCAAGGGACACTTGAACTCAAGTAACCGTGATCTAAGCTTTCATCCTATATTAGGTAATCTTAAACATATTTCTACAAAATACCGGCGGGTACCCACGCGATAAGTAGCCACCAAAACCACATCCCATTGCGGAGAGTTTACTGGAGAGCCTCTTGGGCAAAATTACAGCGATTGACATCTGTTCGCAAACCTAGAACGTTTTCTTCGTACTAAGGGATTCATAAATACCACAAACCGGAGATTGCTAAAAAAAAAGATACGTAATTTGTAACCGCTTTTTTTTTTTTTTGTGTAAGAGCCCACTATAACAGGGTCCGACAAAAAAAATAAACCTGCTGTTTTTTACTCGCATAAGTAAACTATACGTTGCAAAAAGATGAATCTAGATGTGATTCTGATGCCGAACATGGTAAGAAGAGGCGAAAGCTTAAAAGCAGTACCTGGGTCAAAAAATAAGAGAAATAAGTAATTTACTTGTGAGCCGACATCCACATAAGTTCGGAAGAAACAAAAATGACGTTGTTGATTGTTGGCACCTGTAGCATTCGTATTAGTAGAACTAACTGTTACACATTAATAAGAAATATTTTCTTCTTTTTTTTCTCATAAATGGTTTTACTAAAATAAACAATGCAAGCACCAAAAAAAAAATTTTTTTTTCTTTTGACGATTAGGTGGCTCGTAAAGGAAACTTCTTTTTCATCTGTTGGGCTTAGTAACATTATATTCTCACACTTGTGCATTTTATAACTACAGCTAGCGTCACATTGTCACGGAGTTCAAGCTTTTAGCGATGCATAATTTATTTAAGTGGCCCGAAAAAAACAGGTTTCATTTTCTCCATCTGACACATACACCTCTCTGGCGTGAAATTGTTTGAAGTAAACAATGCTTGAATGAACCATCACAGGAAAGCTAAAAATTGAAGAGTACTTTGCATTATCGCGAGAACTAGGAAATGTTTTACCGCTAGTTAAAAATTGACTTACTTGCAAGTAGCATGATTTACGGTTTAAGATTTCAATAAAAAGATGCAGGCGAACAGCGCGATAACGTGGTCTTTGCGAATAGTACCCCCGGAAACTTAATTACGGGCTAAAACGAACACCCGAGGAACGAATAAACCACAGATATGTATTGTGTTTTGAATATGGAAACTTAAGTTTGCAGGCAATGTGTAGGAAAATGCGGTTTCAGTGAGCGCGCTTCTTACCCTGGCGTTAGTCTTTTGTGGGAAAGCATCCCGGCAAGAAGCCCGGGCAAGAATCTAAGTACTGGCGATGTGTGCGCCGTTCAGGTACGTTACACAGACACCACACAAAGCGCGAACATGCATACAGCACCAAGCCCAAACACTTCTATAAAGTAGAGCCACACTGATTCATTACAAGTGTCTAAATAATTTTCGATACAAGGAGATAATTTGTTTTTATTTTTATGTTAATCCGTTCGGCATTTCAGTGGAGCGAACGAACATTAGGTTATCTAAGATTGAATACACGATGTTGCACACGCTCGCTTCTTAAGGCCAACTCTCCAGAGCGAAACCGATAGGATACATAAAGAACCTAACAATTCAAAATTAAACTTCCTAAATGCTCGCGGCCCCTAACAAACTACTTTCGCTGGCGCAGCTTGGATCTTTCAGGGGAGAGGAGATGCACCCATACATTTGCAAATACTGGCGCTCACTGTATAACATACTCTAACATTGCGCCCACTAAGACGATGGAGACCGTTTGCTTAGGCAGTCCGCAGTACCTGTGCCGTGTAACGTATAAACCTCAAAATCGGCGCCGCATGCGCAAAAAGGCGGATGAGGCGGCGGCTACCTTTCTTCCTACCTCGTCGTCTGAGCCTACTTTCCTATTTATCTTACTGTCAATTTTGTGCAATTGATAATACAGGACGACCGTGAGGAGGACGCCGCGTTCCTCACTTCATATCCGCCGCCTCCGAGGGGTGCACGTAGGGTGCAATTACAAACAGTGAGCCGCGAAAATTAACGAAAGGCGGGTCCATACAGTCACCGACAGGACGGAACGGCGGGTATAAGTCTCCTGTAGTGCCTCTTTCATAACCGAACATGTAAAAGGTTATCCTTCGGCCGTTCTGTCTCAATTGTGAGCTTCCATCTTTTCATAACGCTGCAGCGTAGTCAATACACCAACTCAACCCTTTCACGGCACGGCACCGCGGTGTGGCTGCAATCTGCACTGCGCATGTGTAGACGCGTCGTTTCTCCACCAACAACAGTTGATGTTGGTAAAGCGGATTTGTTTGTGCGTGTTGGTGTAGAGCTCGCACGGCGTAAACTTCCGTCATGCTTTGGCTGCGCGTGCACGCTCGAGATTCCCAAGACCACGGAAGCGTTATGGAATGTAGAAAGCTCTAGCTGGAGGTGGTGTATAACCCGAACTCCTCCCTACCGTCTCCATCCTCCGAGTGACTAGAAAGAGCTTCTAGCAGCCAACGCACGGTGGAAGTCCAGGCACCCGAAAGGGACGTCCTGTTCTTCCTGTCTTGTCAGTCACTACAGTTGCAGGTGCTACCTACCGAGTTCACCACACTTTTGCACACCCGAAAACAATCAACAAAACGGTGCGTCACAGCCCCCACTGCAGCGTGGTTACCGATGGTTTACATGTTCACTTTACTCGAAGAGTTGCTGGCCACGTCGTGGTCACGAGTACGCGAACATGAAGCGATCAGGAGGCCATCTTGGCGTCTCTCTGGGCGATGTAGCCTGGCGGGAGCGTTAGTTCTGCAACGTCACTCGCTCGGTGGCAAGGTGTGGTGCGGACGCTGACCGGCTGCGTGGGCTGGTAAGCAGGACTCAGCGGCCTGAGCGGCGTGACGAGCCGCGGAGAAGAAATTCGAGACTCGCTACTGTAAGCGCTGGGCGCCGACAGCGAGGCACCCGTGGACTCCTGCGTTGCATAGAAGGCCACGTCTGGGTGGATGATACCCTGGGCGTCTTGAGCTGTGGCGAAAACACGTTCGTGGTTCACTCTGCATATTCAGAGTGTACTTGTAAGAACGCCAGTAGTGGGCGGAATATCGTTATTTCCTCTGTGACAATTTTGCTGGAAAGCATCATACGAAATACTAGAACCGGAGTTGTCAAAGTTATAGACGACATTGAACTCTGTAATAGGGATTCGGGGACAAAAGCTTAATTCCCGTGTAAGCTATTCTACCCCTAAAGTTATGGTTGCCAAAAAAAAAAAAAAAATAAAAACAACCTGGTTACCTTCTCAAAGTTCGCTTTTTGCTTAAAATAATGCCTGAGATAACATGTCCCTTTGAGAGACAATTCAGGACCAGGAAAGAAGTGCTTTGATCTTATATTTCTAGATATTTATTAATTAATTTATTTATAATTAGCACCGGTCTCAGACTGCCAATTCAGGAGAAGAAAATATATGTCGTAGAAGATTCACTAGCAAAAATACATACGTCTGGTAGCACTGCGATCCTAATTATAACAAAAGTGTTATAATACAATATAATAACCAGAATACTGCGAATAAGACTGCACATACGAGACATAGAAGCATACACGTAATTACTATTTCCTAAAAACAACAAAAAAGAAAACACAAAAACTAAACTGAACACAAACAAAACTATCACTCAAAATCTACCAAATCATGAAGACTTCTTTACAATTATTTAAGACACGACCGGGTGAAGGCGTGTGTCCCGAATGAAAACTCGGTGTGATGGGGGGCAGAATGTATTGCATAAAACATTTGCATGGCGCACAGCTGTTTACAGCTAAAGTTACCGCTGCAAGCGCTTTTGTGCGAAAGTTCGTACTCACAAGTTCTGAGTGCCGCAGCCGGCAACGCGGCCGCGGATAGGCAGACGATGGTAGCCTTGCGCGGCCTTCGGCAGCACAGAACGCACAGCACCGTGAGGGACACCGACGATGACACCACCACCACGAGAGCAATCCTAGAAGAGAAAAATCGCCTGGCTTAGGCATACCGTCAAATGCAGTAAAGATGCGATAGCACTTGATCTTGAGTCTAACGATCTTGATACTTGACCTTGAGTCTAATGAGCACCACCCGCTATCAAAATTAAATGCAATGCGGCACGAACCGAAGGAATTGTGAATGTATGAAGGACTTATTTTTTCTTCTTTATCCAATCACCTCTTTTAGGGAGGGGGGGGGGACATGCATAATATTATTTGAGTTGCCGCAACGGATACAGTCTGGCAATGAACTGCCACCCCGCCTACGAAATGATTCTACTAGAGTGTGCTTTCTGCCCTGCTTGGAGCCCCCGTTCTTACGCAACGGACGGGGGGAAGGGTCAGCGAGTCGTTAATCACCCACCCCCTCTGCGCGGTGCTCCGCTGTTGGTTCAGCAGGCTATGACGTGAAGCCAGCAGCTGAGCTCTGCTGCTGGCAATCCCTCCAATGACGTTGCTACGATGCGAACGACGTGAGCAATCAAGGTCCTAAAAGGGTTACCATGTAAATATTTCGCTTTAAAAGACAAAAAGAGTCTGAGATATTGTTTTCGAAGTACTAAGAGAGTTCTTTCAAATCTTTTCAAATATCTAACTTTCTTAATTGAGTATGCCAGAAAAACGATACAAAAAACACATCTATAGTTGAATATTTCTGCAGCTTTCACATCTTAATGTCCCAGGGGTTGGATAAGCAGTGATGTAGAGAGTGTCTTACGATGCGCACGTTTTTGTAGTGATGATGGGCAGATAGGGACAACTACCGCGCCTTCCCGAGTTTGAAGCGTTGATAGAAAAGAGACTGCGAGAGTTTTTACTTTAAAGTTACACTTGAGAGCTCTCCGACTACTTTCCATGACGTCAGGTGGACCTGCGTGCCCAGAAGGTTTCGAAAGAGTAGTTTGCGTACGGGTGTTTGCCGTTCACATAGTAAAAGCTCAACAAAAAAGAGAGATCGTTGAGCGCCGGGAATGTTGGGAAATATTCGACAGAACGAAACTTCTAAGACAGACGTTGGCCAACGATGGGCAGACACTAGTTTGAGTGTTCGTATACAGCACACATAGTGTCGATATTTTTCGTGCGTGATAAGCAGGATATTGGCGTCCAAACTGCGCTCTCTGATAAATTATGTATACTGTAGGGCCTTGGGTGAGCAAACACATGTTTTTATTAATATTTCCTTAGTGCTTCGAGCTGACCTTGTTTCCCTCTCTCTTTCTCTCTCCGAAAGAAGGAGGGTGTCACGGCAACGGGGTAGCATGCTGAACGATTGCCGAGACAAAACAATATATGTTTTCTGTCACGAGTTCATACGAAAAACGTTCCATGTTTCCGGATAAGACCGATGAAATCACAAAAAAAAAAAAAAACTCACTGGTAGGTAAATAACGGCGTTATTTCTTACTTGTTCGTCAAACTCCTCTACTCAAGAGCGTGGTGACCGAAGGAAAACATGGACCCTTCACACTACACTGTTAGCAAAAATAACACGCCCAGACGTGTAAACCGTTGTCCCATAGCGGACACGTCGAAACGTGTTCGTTTTACACGGAGCCATCTGTGTTTTTCGTCTACACATGAGGTGCTGTGTAAAGTTAACACGCTACACCGTGTTTGCCTTCCGAGAAGCACGGTTCAACGTGTTCCTTATGAAACATGGCGGCCAGCAGCCGAGAACAGGCGAGGGACGAGCCCAGCCAGCCGCGCCTTTCAGCCGAACTGAAAGCATACAGGACGCGTTCGTTCTCGTTCGATGTCTTTTATGCACAGTAAACAGTCTCCGAGCGGCGGACGTAGCTACGTGCAAAGGTACCTACGTGCATCGTCGGCGGTCGGTGGCGTCGGCAGCTACGACAAAACCGATAGACAAAAACAACAAAAAAAAAACGAATATTGAACTTACATGGATAAATAGCTCAAGCAAACTCTTGTAATCGGGCGGTAACTTGCGCCACCTAGTGCGATTTTTAGCAACCAATGAAAAAAAAAAATCAGGAGTCGGTTAATACGCTGGGAACTATCACGAGTAGACTGCTACTCTCATATATCACAGACAACACGAGCACCACGTAGGACACAGCAGCGACACATACACAAACACAACACCGACACTACGCCCGACACTTCCTACTAACAACGGACTCTCCCCGCGGCGTATATATGCTTGACATGTACGGGTGAGCTCTTAGGTCGCTGATCGTTACCGATTTATAGAAGAAGACACAAAACACGGCACAATGGACAGCCGTATGTAAGAACTGTTTGCATTTAAAAAGTATGGAGGCAAAATCTGTAAAATTAGTCCTTTGCGAAAAACAACGATGTACTAACAATAAATCTTAAACCAGCCATGAACAAGTTCAAATTTTTGTTATTTTCATGCTTGACCAGTGTTATGAGCAGTCCGACTCGCTTGAATCAGATAGAAAAACAAATGATTGGGATTTTATCAGTACGTATTCAATAATCAATGGAAATTATACTTGCATGCGCAAGGCATTTTTTATATATATTATTGTGAAGGACATCCGCCCAACACTTCACGTCCGCTAGTTGTAGTACGCGTACGGGAGCAGACGCCTTCACTTTTGGGGCGTTTTAATGCAGATTGTTGTCGTATGTCGTGTTGGTGTCGAGCGAAGCGGTGAGGCTTGGGAGTTTGTGACCGGTGTTATTCGTGATCATTAATGTGGCGCTGATGCGTTTTTTTTTTTTTTTTTTTTTTTTTTAATATTTTTATATAGCCACAATGAAAATTCACGAGCCCGTGGCACTGCATTATGCTAAAATCGCGAGCTCCTTCTCTGTTGACGTCGTTTTTCTGGTAGCACTCGTGGATACTGCAAGCGTTTAAACAGTGCACAGTCTCGCCTACATCCGCGGTGACGTAATCGACCTGTTGAAACTTATTTCTTGCGTCATTTTGGAGTACGCAAGGCAATTATCTCGCTGCTCTGGTTTCGGTTATAAAAGCAAGGCAAAACGCTCGTAATTCCCGCCCTCAGTACACGTTGGACATCTTCCACACTTTGATACTGGATAACTGGATGAACGAGGATTTACATTTACTTCAGAGGTCACACTCGCCGCTTCCTCACCGTCGAGCAGCAGGATCAGCTGGCGGCAAGCCGCGTATGAAAGGCTCGAGCATCAACAGCCCAAGTGCACTCGGTGCCGATGCGGGCGATGCGGGTTTCTGTCAACCGCTAGCCCAGCACAGACCGTGACCGTTCCAGTTCTTCGTCATGACGCGGTGTTGCAGAAAACAGCGTATAATACCACTACACGGACCACCGAAGCGAACGCACTGTTATCGTAAATATTGGCTTGTGATTGCGCCTAAATTTGTAAATAATCTTATTCTTTTTTCTGGAGACGCAAACGAAGGGCATAACAAAATCGTTTGCATATTCCGCATACCTCGCAAAAGCATCAGTCACCTTGCGAGAAGCGCAAAACACGGTGTCCGCACCGTCCTGACTTCCCAGTCTTTTACCTGCTTTAGAGCAGTTTGTACCTGTTAGTAGGTATGTCTACTGAAACTGCAACTTGAAACTTGGGGCAGTGCCAGAGGGAAAAGAGACAAATTCGGGCCTCTTCCCAATGTAAAGAAAAACCACTATGTTCTCTACGTAAAAAATTGGTCTCAGTTCATGCATCTGTGGGCAGGTAGAAAATCTTGCCCTAGTTTATTCACACCGCATGATGAGCGCAACAAACTCACACGAGTCACACGAGATTTACAGGAAAACATCGGTGGTGACTTAAGTTTCCCTGAAATTCTGTATAACCGGTCGTTTGCGGGACCGAATCATCTACTCGAGCGGTGTGCGTCGCTGTGCGAACACGTCGCTGTGCAAACACGTCGCTGTGCAAATGCAGTCTAACGACACGAAGCATAGAAACGGCAGATTTAGGGAAACTATCCGAAGTCCCTTGTTCAATTAAAACGACGTAATTTTGTTGAAAACGTCCGCAGCATTTTACTCACGGTATGCGTCGGGAATCTTCCACATTTTTAAACGGAACGATGGAAGATTTACTTTTAAGAACGCTCCCTGCGTCCTCCCCGACCAGCTGGACCGGATCAGCTGACGACGACGGGGCTAAACCCGTCAAACGCAACCCCACAACAACCAATATGAGCTCCGCGTTAGTGCGGGTTTCTACCTACAAGCACTGCACCACACACCACGAACGTTTCGGCCCTTTCTCGCATCGCCGTGTTGCCCCAAACAGAACGAGATCGCCGAAGAACGCAGCGCTGTCGTGAACCTGGGCTTGTGGTTGCGCACTCGTGGACCCTGTGACTCCCCTCGCTTTCAAAGCACACACGACGAATGGTACTTTCCGTCTTCCGGGAACATCACAGGGGCACTTCTCCGGTCACGTCTTCACTATGTGCTCGCAAACTGCGAAGCTCTATGCGAAGCTTCTCGCGTCCCGTCAAACCAAAACAATAGCGGCTGCCAGAAATTTCTCCGGTCAAACAAAAAGAACGAAAGCCAACCGGCTCTTGCTTCCACCGTACATCGACGTTGCGCGTGCGCCATGGCCAGATCGGCCAGATCGCTTGCAGTTGAAGCAGTTGAAGGTTGAAGCAAAAACGAAACCAACTGCAATGTCACGTGTTCACATCGAAGACACGCTTTTTATATCCATTTTAACTGTTTTGAACAATAATTGGACCCATGACTTTATTTGTGGTGTGTAAGAAACTATTATCAAGAGCCCTAAACTAAATGCAAACATGGGCGACTTGAGGGAAGCCGCATTGCCATCGACCAGAAAATGGCGGCGAGCCACGGTAAGCGCGGGTTTCGCCAACGTCCCGCGACATGGCGTAATTGCTTTTGGTGCATATCTGTTTCTGAGAAATGTTTCTTTCCGCGGCATTTGTCTCGACGGTCCTTTCTAAGTGTGTCCCCAAGCATTCCGGTGCTTCGATAGCCGGCAATGCCGCGGTCGTCGC